CACCCACAGCGGCGCTGAAAACCTACCGTTCCACACGTGGAACGCATGGAATGCGGCAACCTTTCTTGCCTTTCGTGATTGAGCACTCTCTTCTCCAGGCACCAAGCGTGGCAGTGACGCAAGGCGTGGGGGGGGGGGGGGGCAGCTTTGACACCTTTCAGTCCAGGCGCGGCGAAACCGCAAATCGCCAGGGCTTCGCTGGGATCCACTTGGCCTTGAGGGGGAATGGCCCCTTGGCGCGAGGCGTGAAGCACGTGTGGTGCCGATTTAGGGGGAATGTGGCGGAGTCTTCGGGGGAACCTGCCTGGAGATAGACTGAGATAGACGATGAAGTACGAGCAGGACGTACTCTATTAACCTAACATAACCTAACCATGTTATTCTAGAAGTAGTAAAACCAACTATAACTATAACCATGTTACTTTATGAAGTATAACCATGTTATTCTATGTTGGTTTGGCATACCATTATTTTTGCCCGCAGTGCTATTCTATGTTGGTTTGGGGTGTCACGACACGGAATGATTGCTGCAGCAGACTCTCTTCACCAGGAAAGCGCATCTCCTTGCTTCAACTGCCGAATCCATCTGAATCCCAGGTCCCCAGTCTCTGACCTTCTGTTCAACAAGATGGCGGTGGAGAAGCAGAATGACCTGCAGAGCAATGGCACTGTGTTTGACAAGTGGCAGCTTGTTGGCAGAGTCTGTAGCGATTCAACTGGAACGGGAATGGGAGTGTGTTTCCCCGAAATCTCATGGCCTTTTGATTCAGATCTCTAGCATAGCATGAATCGTATTTTGCATGTTATCATCCGCTCTTTTCTCCGACTTGTCTCATGTTTGAATGGTTGTAACATGTTATAATCATTTTCATCCCGACCCTCCTTTGGTGGCCTATGTGCACGAAGAGATCGGCGATATGCTGCTAGAGTTTGGTCGGTGCCTTCGACAGATGGAGATTTCATAGCGTTCTTTCATCTCTTCACAGATCAGGACTGGGACATTGCACGTGCCTCCGACCACCCTGTCCTTGACATAGCCCATCCATCACAATTCATGACTGAGGACTGAATAGCCATGGTCAAACCAGGTGTACCGGAGTTCCCCAAATCAACGTTTGGTCGAACCACCGGACCCTGTGGAGCACCGCCGAGGTCCTGGAGCACCACAGCTACAGAGGCGGATGCAGCACTGGAGGACCACTTCCCGCCGGGGTCGACCGGGCGAGCAGTCTACCGCGCCAGCGCGCGACCTCGAAGCGACCGATGTCGGGGTGTTGATGTCGGGTTGTGGGTGCAACTTTCGGAAAAGGATTGGCCCTGAAAGGGATCAGCATATCCCATCAGATTTCTATTGTGTATACTCGGAGCAAGGGCGCTACTACGTGGAACCCCATCGCAAGTAGGGTGGAGGCCATCGCTACTAGTAACAAGAAGGCTACTAGGGTGAAGGCATGGGTCGTCACCGAGTCGCAGAAGTCACACACGGTTTGTTCGCCAGGAGTCTTCGCCGAGCTCCAGGAGCAGCGGCCAGGAGAGACGACCGCGGACTCGTTTTTTGGGTCGTGCCGCTGGTGTTTCGTTTCTTCGGCTCGGCGAGCGAGGCGACCACAGAGCAGCCGCGTGGTGGAACTTTATGGAACTCCAAATGGCCAACAAAAAGTCTTGAAGCTTTCTGGCACTCTCAAATATCTTGGCTCCATCGGTCTATCACCGAGATGATGAGTACCTGTAACCAGGAAATAGTGCAGACCCAACAGATATCAATCTTTTTTGGGGGGTTCAAGATGCCGTTTGAACATCATGGACCTCTCATGCAATCCTCTTTTCTTCGCCCAGACCGATGCTGGAAGCACGGAGGTGGGGGGCGATCTCAGGGCCGAACAGTGCCGTTGTTGTTTCTTCAATCAGGTCCAGGTGGATTTTTGTTATTTTGTAGTAGACGTACTTTTTTTTTGGCCCTAGAATTCTCTGCGTTTGCTGAGCAATTGGCCACGTCAGACTTGCCGACAAATCAGGTGTTTGGGAGGGCACCAAACAGATCGACACGGGTCGAACGACTTTCATGTTTGCCGCAGGCTTCCCCAAGCGATGAGCAGCCTTTGCTGGCGGCTCAGGATGACAGCTGTTGGTTCCCTATTTCAGTTATATATCTTGACGAAGGTGTACAAAACGCCTGGAACTACTGGGTGGTGCTTTGTATAGCAAAAAGGAAAAGGAAGGTTCCAAATCTCCGAATGGCTCCAATAAAGCCTTTTCTGGGATATTAAACCTCCAACCCAGCCTGTGGTAAAACAGCCCTCCTTGCCAGCCAGGCCAAGAGGCTTCAGTTCTTAGGTCCACTCAAAATGTCAGTTGAGAAGCTCAGTCATCCTCTCCAGGCCACAACCGCTGAACCAGCCGCTGCCGGCGCAGCTGCCGACCCCTTCGCAGATGCTGCAAATGTCGGTGCCTTTGCCCCCGCAAGTGCAACTGCAGCAGGTTGCCGTGATGCCAATGCAGGCTCGGCCCGGCCCGGCGGCTCTGCACCGCCCATCATGATGGGCCCATGACGACCTCATGGCCGCTTCCGTTAGTGCTTCGTGTTTGATGCGGGGTCGTTTGATGAGTTGGTGATGCATCCCAGGCCTCTCACACCTTGTGTCTTTTTGCACCAAAAGATGGGACCGTTTGGAACTGCTGATGAAGAGGTTCAGAGACTCTTTCTGGAACAACAACACTGGTTTTCCAGTGCCTCAACATGTCAGTGTGAAAACTCTACGGACACAAGCAAACATCTTCGTTTTGAAGCATGAAGCATGAAGGCATACATCCGCACAGCCTGATACCTGCTCCTGGCTTACTCAAGCCCTGGAGAAGTCCAGGCACCTCAGCCTCCGATGATGCCAGTTCCGATGCCTCCAATGCCCATGGGCATGGGCATTTTGCCCGTCGTTATGTCGCTGCTTGGCGTTTTAAAGAGAAGACGGAAGACGGGCGAAGGCTGGTCCAGGGTTCCAGAGGCAGAGCGGATGCAGTAGATCTACATGCAACAAAAAGCATTGCTTTGCAAGAAAGGACACTATGCGGAGGAGAGGGAAGGGGGAGAATGCCTCGACTTTTGTTGCTTTGAGGGAGTTGCACAAGCGCGGGTGATTCACCTGGATCATGCCTGGACATGGCTTTCAGGCTTCACACATTCATCCACCATACCTTCGCTTTGCTTGGTGTCTCGTCTCGCCGCATGGCCAACGGCTCAGGATGCCGCACATGCAAACCGTGCCCAGCGTACTGCCGAACGTGATGCCCTCGGCGCAAATCGCCGTGTCGCCACAGGCTGCTTGGCCCATTTTGGCGATGTCCACAGAAGGACGAATCACTTGATGGCGAAGCCCATGATGGCGGAAACACGAAGAAAAGTAACATTTAATGATAATTGATAATCGATTGTGCTGAGAGATGAAGAAAAGATATTCCAGAGAGGGAGAGAGAGAGAGAGAGAGAGAGAGCGAGGGGGAGAGAGAGAGAGAGAGATAGAGAGAGAGAGAGCAGGAGAGGACAAAGCAAAACAGGACAAGACATGCCATTCAAGGGTGATCTCCTTCTTGATTCATGTTGTCCCTCGCGTTTCCGCCTAGCTTTTGCATATATGAGGTCTTGTTTTGACCAGCTACTGTATGTATCTGTACATCATTTACAGTAGTATAAGATTATTGTTGGCACGAAATTGAGGTCCTTGCTCCGTTATGCCGTCTAGTCTTCTCTGGAATCTCCGTTCGATCTGTCTGGTTTTCATGCATCTGATCCGATGACTTGAAACTCCTGCGGGTCTGGGGGTCCCTTCTCCTTCGTTCGACTCAGTGACCTGAGGCATCCACGACCTCAGGCCAAAGAGTCCGATGTCGGTGGGATTTTTTTTGGATGAACAAGAGGGATTCAACAAGCTATAGGCCAAGCTAGGCCATGGACTTCGGTTCAACTTCGGTCTTGGGTGGCCGCAGAAAAGCGTTCTTTTTAGATTTGTTGAGTTCCCTCCAGTGCAAAAGCACTACTTTCGGCACTTGCAGGATTGGACTTCGCTAACACAAGCCCAGCAAATCCCGCCTTGCCGAGCTTTCAACCACAGGATCCATCTCACAACAAGGTCAGCTTCCCTTGATCTGCGAGGAGTGCTTTGTTGAAGGTAGATCAGCCCAGCAAATCGATAATTTAGGATTCCTTTGACTTCTCCGATCGTCAAGCCTGGCTTGCGCCGGCTCATGGCTTGCAGCGCCAGGCGCGCCCCCAGGCCCTGCCTTTGGCTGCGCGCACCGCTTTCACCAGAAGAACTCCAGCATGGGTGTCCTCTCACCAGATGCACGAAGCTTCACTAAGCGATACAACAAGGAGCGAGGGGGTTCGAGTTCAGAGGTTTGTTTGAGCGGAAAAAGGATGGAATGGTCTATTTTGCGGACTTTTCACATATCATACAATGCTGGTCATTTGGCATGACAACCCTAGAGCTGTCTTGAGCAAACGAGTCACCTCAAGCGGCTTGCCACTGGCTCGGCACCTCAACCAAGCTTGGTCCTTCAGGGACGCTTGAGCATCATCTCCGAGAACAAGGTGCACTTCAAAGGCACTGTGCGATATGCCGTGCCCCGGTGGCAAGAGCGGATGCACTAATCTTAGGCTCTTTGAAGGAATGTGGGCTTGTCTGCGTTTGTCTCAAAAAAGTTACTGTAGGGACTGTAGGGAGAGCTTCCAAATCCTCCTGGTCATTGCGAAGTAGGTGAGACCCAGTGGTTTGGGGCTTACTGATCTTACTGGCAACTTATGCCCCAAACCTGCAGCTGAAGGCCACTTGGTGATGCAACTGGCAACCCAACGGAGTCTTGAGCTACAGCGAAAAGCGATGAAAGCCTTTGTGTATTTTATATTCTCCCTCAGCCAAGTCGAGTCCGGAAAGGGTAAGCCAATGTTTGGCGGCCCCAATCTCTCCAAGAAAACCGTCGAGGGGTGGGATCGCTGGCACTGCAGTCGAGGTGCAATTTACCGAAGGAGAGCTTTGCAGTGCTGACGGAGCCGCTTGGCCCAAAGATGTCCTAAGTAGCAACGCAGCAACGCCCATTGACTTCAGTGGTTTCTGCTGACTTGTGCTTTTGGAGAAATCTGGTCATCTCCTGCTTTGCCCTCCTCCATAGCTTTCCACAGCTGAACCAGTCTCAACGAATGCTGAGGTAGGCTTCATCCTCTCGTCAGACTTGCCTTGCACGCGAAACATCCAAAAGATCATTTCGATCTTCGTGAATCGAACTGGCCGCATTTGTCACCTGGAGAGCATGGAGGGAGTGACGGTTCCGAACAAGTGCATCGTTTCAGAGGTGTGTGTCTGTGTGTGTGTGTGTTACCCTCCGTTTCCAGGAGTTTGTTTCTTACTCAGTTCGCAGGGGGCACGGCGGCCGTTCACCTAGCCGTGCTAACAAAGCTACGGTGTTCGACTGGAAGAGATACTGGACGCAGTATCTTGTACCTGCAATTTTTAAATAGTAGTCACACTCAAACATTGTTGAACAATTCTTTAAAGCTGACTTTGCGCCTTGCCGTTCCATCTTTCCTTTCCTCGGGGAACAGAGTTAACTGAAAACCCAATGACTAAGTGTGTATCGCTGTGTCTCCCCACTGGGTACACAGTGCGATCCCCCGCAAGGGGGCGCTGAACCGCCACAGTGGATTCTGGTTTGACTTTTTGGTCTCACCCATGAATCAACTGATCGCAAAGTGGCTGCGCTTACGGACAGCATGCCGCCGGGCTTACGGAGAATGAAACCCCGCCCCCTCTTCTCTATCCCCCCTCTAATTGGGGTAAGAGAAGGAAATGGTACTCGACACACTTGTGTGTCGGTGCCTTTCCTTCTGTTGTCCCTTCTCTAGTCTACTCTACCCGGGCGGTTTAAGACTAAAGTCCCGCTGCCTAACTATTGCACGTAATTAACGGCTGCTAAGTATTCAGTAACTAGAGTGCTAAGTATTCAGGCACACACACACATGTACACTGACATGGACATACACCCCCTCCCTGCCCTCCGCTTTCTCTCTTGCGCTTTCTTCGTTTTCTAGGTTTTCTTTCAGGCTCGTTTCCCTGCCCCTCTTCAGTCAAGGGCTAAGTAGTCACTTTCTTCCGCTACTCCTACCTTTCCTTCTTGCCCTTTTCGTTTTGCTCTTTCTGTCTTTCTTTTTCTTTCCTAAGGCTTTTTATTAGGTGACTATTCAGGTTCTGCGAGAGAGCGCCGCGAAGCGGCCGAGTGTGTGTGTCACCCTCCGTTTCCAGGAGTTTGTGTCTTACTCAGTTCGCAGGGGCACGCCGTGCTAACAAAGCTACGGTGTTCGGCTGGAAGAGATACTGGACGCAGTATCTTGTTGCAAAATTTTAAATAGTAGTCACACTCAAAAATTGTTGAACAATTCTTTTAAGCTGACTTTGCGCCTTTGCGTTTCATCTTTCCTTTCCTCGCGGAACAGAGTTAACTGAAAACCCAATGACTAAGTGTGTGTCACACTCTGTTGTTAAGAGTTTTCCAATGTTTCCGGTTTACTTCAGACAGCAGGGGGCCATCCCCTCCCCAGTGGCGGATGGCCAACGAAGAGGCCTATGGGGGGGCTGCAAACGTACCTGCTGAACTGTTGTGCAAGCTGTTCTCCTTGCGGTTTGCTTCTCATGGTGGTTCTCATGCTATTCCCCTAAACCTACCCTTTTTTGTCTGCTAAGTATTCAGTAAAGTGCTAACGTGTCAACATTGTTAAACATTCCTGTTCAATCGATTGGATTATGGAAACTGCAAGCCCTGTGACAAAGTGTGTGTCGCTGTGCCTTCCCACTGGTTACACAGGATCCTCTCGCAAGAGAGGCACCGAAGTCATTCGTGTATCCCAAATTCCAAAGCGAAATCCGAAGGCAGAGGCAAAGGCAAAGGGAGGGGCAGGGGTGGACGAGGCCGTGGGAGATCGAAAAGATCAAGGGGCTCTCCCCACGTCTGCTGAAGTGGATGCTTCGGGGAAGGTTGCAGAGGATGCTGGGTCAGCGTCTTGAGTTCGTGGATTATGGTTTGGTTTTTTTGTTTCACCCATGAATCAACTGAACCATATGCCCCCGACCTCGCGGAATTCAGGCCGCCGGACTTACCCTTTTTTTGTTTGTTAAGTATTCAGTAAAGTGCTAACGTGTCAACATTGTTAAACATTCCTGTTCAATCGATTGGGTTATGGAAACTGCAAGCCCTGTGACAAAGTGTGTGTCGCTGTGCCTTCCCACTGGGTACACAGGATCCTCTCGCAAGAGAGGCGCCGAAGCCATTCGTGTATCCCAAATTCCAAAGCGAAATCCGAAGGCAGAGGCAAAGGCAAAGGGAGGGGCAGGGGTGGACGAGGCCGTGGGAGGTCGAAAAGACCAAGGGGCTCTCCCCACGTCTGCTGAAGTGGATGCTTCGGGGAAGGTTGCAGAGGATGCTGGGTCAGCGTCTTGAGTTCGTGGATTATGGTTTGTTTTGTTTCACCCATGAATCAACTGAACCATATGCCCCCGACCTCACGGAATAGAGGCCGCCGGACTTACGGAGAATGAACCCCCTCGTTTTTTCGCTTTACTTCTAGCTCTAATTAGGGTAACAGACGGAAATGGTACTCGACACATTTGTGTGTCGGTGCCTTTCCCTCGTCCCTGTTCTAGTCTAGTCTACCCGGGCGGTGTAAGACTAAAGTCCCGCTCCCTAACTATTGCGCGTAATTAACGGCTGCTAAGTATTCAGTAACTAGAGATTTCTAACCAGGGTAACAGAAGGAAATGGTACTCGACACACTTGTGTGTCGCTTCTGTTGTCCCTTTTCTAGTTTACTCTACCCGGGCGGTTTAAGACTAAAGTCCCGCTCCCTAACTATTGCACGTAATTAACGACCGCTATGTATTCAGTAACTAGCTTTACCTTTTAACTACACCTACCTTTCTCTCTTGCCCTCTTCGTTTTCTCTTTCTGTTTTCTTGCCGCTCGTTCGGCGGACATGCATGGCCTTTTGCACCTACCTTTCTCTCTTGCCCTCTTCGTTTTCTCTCTTTTTTTGTTTTCTTTCCTTTCTAAGGCTTGTTAGGTGGCTTTTCAGGTTTTAACTCGGTAATTCGCCGTTCGTTCGGCAGACACGCATGGCCTTTTACACCTATCTTTCTTTCTTGCCCTTTTCGTTTTGCTCTTTCTGTCTTTCTTTCTTCTCTAAGGCTCTTTAGGTGGCTATTGAGGTTTCGCGCCGCAAGGCGGCCATGTGTGTGTGTGTAACCCTTGGAGTCATAGGGATCCTGTTGGATTTGATGTGGCCTTTTTCCTACGCTTTTGGTTTTTTAGTGCAGGGGGTCCAGGCAGTTGTGAGTTGTCCCTGGACCAACGAAGACGGACTCACAACTGGTGAAGCGAGAAGGGACGCCTTCTTGTGTACCTGCAATTTTCCATTTCTCCGCATGGCGTGAGGCTAAGCCTAGAACCTCCAAGACTTGGTACTTCATGTTGCTGCAGACATGCACGGAACGCCGTCAGCTTGTCGTCTCGTCGGTTCGTGGCCTTTAACTACAGGAACTCTGGTCCCCTTCACCTGGTCTTTTCAGGATTTGGGTTTCTTAGGCTGGCGTGTGGCACCGCAATCAAGTCAGTACGCATATCCATGAGTGTGTTTGGCTTCGTGCCAACCCGGGATGAGCCCGCAGAGTGCCTCCCGTGGACCCGTCGAACGGGTGTACGTCCATGTTCCCCGGCTTTGGGAACGCAGATGTCCGTAGCGGACAGCAGGTGGCCTAGGCCGTACGTCCGATGATCTTTGTCCATCTTTGGAATACCAAGTTGGCACATGCCCTTACGTGACCGCAGCGGTCAGAGGTGGCAGCCTTCGGGCAAGCCGTACGTGGTCGCAGACCAAAGTCTGTTCAAGGCTCATTGGAGTCTGTTGGACACTTAGGTGCACATACATCGTACACACTTCAACGAGGCAGGTCTTCCTAGGTTGTTGTAATGAGGTTTGGTTTCATCGGTTCCCGTCCCCTCCATTTGGTTCCCCTTTCACCTTTCCCCTTCACACACACTTCTTTTCCTCTTTCTTTTCATGTCTTCCTTTGCTTCATGTCCGTTCATCTCACTCCTTTCGTTCTTTTGCGCGTACAATGGTCCGGGCCTTAGTGTGTACGCGCACATCTACTTTCAACTCAGGTGTTAGGTCGCCCAGGTCTCGACAATGAGGTGGGCTCATCAGTTGTCCCTGTGCACTTGGTTTCCCTTTCATTGCAACCACACACACTTTTGTCCTGTCTGTCTTCCTTTTCATGTCTTCATCCTTTTGTCCTTTCTGCGCGCACATTTGCACCTTCGTCCTAGCCTTAATTTTGCCTCCCCTCGGGGAGGCGTGTGTGTGTAACCCTTGGAGTCATAGGGATCCTGTTGGATTTGATGTGGCCTTTTTCCTACGCTTTTGGTTTTTTAGTGCAGGGGGTCCAGGCAGTTGTGAGTTGTCCCTGGACCAACGAAGACGGACTCACAACTGGTGAAGCGAGAAGGGACGCCTTCTTGTGTACCTGCAATTTTCCATTTCTCCGCACGGCGTGAGGCTAAGCCTAGAACCTCCAAGACTTGGTACTTCATGTTGCTGCAGACATGCACGGAACGCCGTCAGCTTGTCGTCTCGTCGGTTCGTGGCCTTTAACTACAGGAACTCTGGTCCCCTTCACCTGGTCTTTTCAGGATTTGGGTTTCTTAGGCTGGCGTGTGGCACCGCAATCAAGTCAGTACGCATATCCATGAGTGTGTCACACATTCTGTTTCCACGCAAAAGAACTGCCAGTTGAGCGCCGCGAAGCACTCTGTTTCCAAGAGCTTTCCAATGTTTCCGGTTTACTTCATACAGCAGGGGGCCATCCCCCTCCCCAGTGGCGAAAACGAGGCCACTGGGAGGGGGCTGCAAACGTACCTGCTGAACTGTTGCGCAAGCTGTTCTCCTTGCGGTTTGCTTTTCATGGTGCTTCTCATGCTATTCCCCTAAACCTCCCCTTTTTTGTCTGCTGAGTATCCAGTAAAGTGCTAACGCGTCGACATTGCTAAGCATTTCTGTTCAGCCAATTTTGCGCCTTTCCGTTCCCTCATTCATTTCACTGTGGATTATGGAAACTGCAAACCCTGTGACAAAGTGTGTATGTGTGCTTGAACGGGAAGAAAGGAGTGGTTTGAGTTTGAATCAGCAAGTTTAGTACGAAGCGCAAAACACAACGAATCAGATCAAATCATCATCACTGACCTCATCCGATGACCATATGAATATGGTATGGCGCAGCCAGTTGTCATGGCCTGGACTGGGGCCGTCTGTTGGTGTCCAAGGCGTCCGCGTGCACGATGAGGTGGATCGCTGCCCTCAACGTGTGAAATGCCTGGAAATTGGAGACTGGCTTGAGGTGGGGTGGGAGGCTTTAGGACGATCTTGTGATGACTTTGTCAAACGAAAGCTAAGACTAAGACTTGTGGTCCGCTGTGATAGATAGAAGACATCCTCAGGCAGCCAGGGCTTTGTGTACGCCAGCAGGTCAATTGTAGGTGCCTGATTTCCGCCCAAACCCATTGCG